AAACATCTCTTCTGAGGAATATTTAAGGATTGGGGTCAGCAACTCTGCATTTAAGGATTGGAGTCAGCAACTGGCAGAGTATCTTCAATCATCTTCACACGACAGCAAAGTCAGTGATTTGGGGATCATCCTTTAATTTTCAATCTGTAGCATTTATTTTTCAGTTTACTTATGTACCGTACAGTGTTTAGAGATTTTTAATCTCCGACACTAATTATATCAAATTCAAAAATAATTTCTTATTTTTGAATTTTACTTTTTATTGGTGAGAAAAATTTGCATCAACAGAATTCATAACTAAAAAACAATATGATATTAGAGCATCTATTAGATAAACATGATATTACAAAGAATACACATATCACATACATCCATAGTAAAAAAGCATTAATAATTTATCTATGCAAATATAATTTAAATTTATTTTAAAATATCATATTTACCTACTTATTTTCCAATCATATTATATTATATATATATATCAAATTTCAATATTTATTTATTTTAAAAATATATATATATTCAATTTCAACCAACTAACCAATTAAAATACTAATTATTTATTCAACTAGATTTTTAACAAAACTATGGGAACAAAATCTTTTCGGACAATACATTATTTCAACTTATTCCAATATTTAAATTTTCAAATATTAATAATCTCACAAATTTGAATTTTGTAATATTCAAAATAATAATAAAAAATACTCTCTTCTTCCGTCAAATTTATTTTCATTTTTCTTTTTAGTTCGTCCAATAAATTTATCCAATTACTAATTTTGGCAAAGTCAACAAATCAATATTTAATTATTATCGTCCATTCAACACTTATTTACAACAAATACCACTAATTTTATTACATTCTCTCTCTTTATTTACTTTATTTTTTTAACTAAATTTCCAAAAATACTCTTAACTACCTATCACTTTTTTAATAAAATATTCATTTTTCTTAATTCTCATGTCGGACCTAAATATGCTAATTTTAATGGACAGATGAAGGAAGTATATAATATTATTTATATAAATTAATATTTTAGATTAAAATAAAATATAATAATATTATATAATATATATTATTAGACAATAAAAATATGTAAAACTAAACAATTATTATAGATTTTTAAAAAATTGTAAAAATAATGGGCTAAATATGATGATACTATAATGAGTGTTAATAAGGGTAATTTGAATGTTTGCATGTTATTAGATTCAATCGGAAGTTTACCCATATAGATCACTTGAAGGATAGCGCCCGTGAGTTTTCATATTATTATTTTATTTTTTATTTTTTTTAAAAAAAGTAATTTGAATATTGATATAGATATGATATGAATGAAAAAGATAAATAAAAATGTAATGAAATAGAGACATTGACTACAACAAATGCTCTAATAAAAACTGAAAAGATAATAATACAAATAATTGTAACATATGATCGTATAAGAAATAGCTTGATGAAGAAAATCATGAAAATCAAGAATCAAGTACTAAAAATCCAAGCTTACAACTCAAAATTTTCATTCTCATTATGAAAAATATTCAATTCGAAGTTTTTTAGTACACAAAATTCTCTTAAATTAAATAGAATATAATATATTTGAAAAAATCACACACAAAATATATATATATATATATATAGAATTAGCACACAGTCTAATAAAACTTATCATATAATAAATTTTTTCCTTTTGTACATTTTATTGAAAATTTGCATGCAGTAAATTTTAAATATCACATATTGTGTTCGAATAAATCACACCAAAAAAATACATTTAACACAGATCTAATATAACTTATCACAAATGAATTTTTTTTTCACTAATACATAACATAGATAGCACATATATAATAAGTATATTCAACAAGAAACTAAAAATATTTAAAGTATATTTAATTATCAAAATAAAATTAAACCTAAGATGAACCTCATTAAAAAATGAACATACTAATAGAAGTATAAATCATATCAATTCATATATTACTAAAATAATGTCACATAAGTTGATGAATTTGGTAACAGTGAGATTATCCATTCAAACTTCAAACATCTTTAAATTTTACTATGTTTCTATTATTTTATCTTTGTTATGACTCATTGCAAATCATTTATAGGTGTCATTTGTTGCCTTTGCTAAGTCATCTATTTAATGACTCATCATATTGTAACGCATGTATAAATATGTCTATTTTTGTGAAATAAAAGATTACACAAGAATTGATTTTTGGTTCATTCCATCATATTCTCTCTCTCTCTCTCTCTCTCTCTCGTCTCTCTACTCTCTCTCTCTAGAATATATATATACTTTATTACACAAATATACATATACATATGCTATATATATATTACATATCATATATTTTATAAATCATACACATATATATATTTTATCTTATATAATTATATATATTTGTTATATTTTATAACAATCTTATTTTATTTTTATTGGAGTTTATTATTATTATTCTATTATTCTAATTTTTTTTTATAACGTTGTAATCTGCAGTCTCTATCTATCGGGTGCGCTTTCGATATATTTTCGATCAAATCTAATAGCCTGTAAACTAGGCCCGAATGATTTACAAGTATGCTTGTTTTTTTTTTTTTTTTTTTTTTTTTTTAATTTCAAATGAAAATTACTACTTCCTCTGTCCCGGCTATGGTGTCTATTTTCCCGTAGATACATAAATTCAGGAGAAGTATAATTAAAAATAATTAAGAATATATTAGTAAAAATAATTATTGTATAATTAAATAATTATAAAATAAAATTAAAATAATTAATTAGTTCGATTAAAATTTAAAAAATTATAAATAAAAAATTAAAATAAGATTAAGATGTATTAGTTTTTTTAAAAAATAATAATAAAATAAGTGACACAAATAAAAATAAAAAAGTGGACAAAAGTATTATTTATTTTTAACAGAAATATTTTTTTTTTTTACAAATTTTAATAATTAAATAAAAATAAAATTTCTACCATTTTAAATTATTTTTAATCGAATCCACCATTCCACGTGAACACCATGGCCCTACGTAGATCCAATAGGCTGTCAAAACAGGCATGGGCAGACGAATTGGAACGTGCCACGTCTGCATAAAGTTGACTGTTGTCAATGTTTGACTTTTAAGGATTTATTTATAAGGTCAAATAAGAGAGGAAAAGATAAACATGGCGCGCCACACCCGCAATTGTTTAATTACAGTAATTATATCTAATTACGATCAAATTAAGCACAATATTCTGTGAACATATATATGGTAGTTAGATATATATATATATTTTTTAAAAAATCTTTTATAAAGTTTTGAAAATTTTTAAAATAACAAAAAATACTGGTTTTGTTTGTTTAGTGTTTTGAGTTGATTTTTTCTTTTTTTTTTTGTGAAGTATTGAAAATTATATCGGTAATATAAAAAATAATATTTTATGTTGAATATTGATTTTTTATTTTTGTGAAATAATAAAATATATATATTGAAAATCCGGAGAAAAAATGCTGGACAAACAAACCCCTATTATTTAAGACTTTCTTCATCCACTTTCATTGAATACAAAGTTTTGAAAATAATATTCCTTCCGTCCACTTTAAAGGTTTACATTTACTTTTTCTTATTGATTTTTGAATATTATTTATTATATCAAAATATTGTATAAATTAAGTAAAAAAAGACAAAAATACTTATATTAGTGTCTTATAATACAAATATAATGATATTTGTATACAAATTTATACAAATATATTGATATTTTTAATGTTAAGTATAACGACGTAAAAGATAAATACTCCCTCCGTCAAGCTAGAAAGTATACATATTTCTATTTTGGGACGTCTAATTACAAAGTAACCATTTCATTAAATACCCAATTTTTTCCACAAATACCCCAATTTTATATCACATAATTACTTTTATACCAAAAAAGTAAGGGCAAAAATGTCATTTCACTACTTTTACTTACACATTATAATTAAAATACTATTATTCCTTAATCTCCGCGCCTATACTTTTAGCTTGGACGGAGGGAGTATAAAATTTGAAAGTGGAAGGAGGGAATAGCATTTTAATACTTTCTTTATTCATTAGTAATTTCTATTTGACTTTTGCAAACAGATAAAGATAAATTAGTATTTTATAAATATGTAGTAGTATAATAAAATAATATAATATATATTTTACTTTTGAAAAATAATGTAAAAAAAGTAAAAATATTTTAGTATTTAGTTGACACTTACTTTTTATAAAAAAATACTTTTTCTAAAAATTGTGTAATTAATATAAAAACAATGAGCGTATATTTGGACTAATATTTTGACAACTGTAGCTACAATATTAAATTTGAAATTCACTTTTTTGCTGAACAATACCAATAAACTTACAAAAAAAAAAAAAAACAAAATATATTAGTATTGATAACACATTATTTATATTTATATAATACAAATACAGCATCACGCAGAGACACACTGTAATTATAAATAACATTACATGCTTTTATTATAAACAACACATATTATATACAATAAACATTTACTCCCTCCGTCTTATGTTGGATGTCTGGGTTAGATACGAGAATTTAAGATAAATATAATTAGTAGATAATTAAAAATATATTAGTAAAAATAATTATTGTATAATATAAATAATTATAAATTAAAATTAAGATAACTAATTAATTTAATTAAAATTAAAAAAATTTAAAATAAAATTAAAGTGTGTAATTATTTTATAAAGAAAGTGACATGAGATATAGACGGTCAGAACAACAACATGATTCGGTATATGGACTGAAGGAGTATATTTGTCTTTTTTATGGGTGCTGGTACTGATTTATATTTTCAAATAAGCAGGGTAACCTACTAACCTTTCCTTATTTTGACAAATGCATTTAATGCATTCAAATATTCTCGAGTACAAATACATGAAATTCGAATTTGCTATAATCCACTGCGGATGACACTACAATTTACAATACAAGATTTGGAAAATATTCCCGACTCCGTCCGCCAGAAAGATTGCCTCCCTTGCAACCTTTTTGATAAAGTTTGCTCAAACACGCCAAGACAAACCGGCGATGCTGCGAGTCATCCGTTTTGTGTTGCAGAGAATTCGACGAAATCACTTGGAGAGTTAAAAAGCTGAAAAATGGCGAAGGGGAAAGGCAAGGGACACCGCCATCATCAAGCGAAGAAATCGTCTGCTGTTCTGGTCGTTTTGGCGGTGCTGTTACTGCTGACGGTTATGCTTTTGGTTCTGCTCGGATTAGGAGTCGTTTCCATTCCCATTGGCCGCGACGATGATTTCTTCACCATTGGAGATGGATTGAAATTGAAGCGCTTGAGGTTGGAGAGGTAGATTTGTGCGTTAATTTCGATTGTTGAGATTCCGCATCGCGATTGGAATTGATTTGTTCTTTGTTTTTTTGTTCGCGATTTGAATTGAAATTTTGTGCTTCGATTTTGTTTCGAGTGATAGCATTAGAATAGGCGAGGAAGGATCGGAGGAAGGAGGAGAACGTTGGACGGAGATCCTCTCATGGCGGCCTAGGGCTTTTCGGTATCATAATTTTCTGGTGAGTTTGTGGTTGATCACTTGATCTGGAGGAATTTGATGCAATTCGATTAACAAATTGCTTGGCGATTGAGATAAATTTTTGAGTCACAATGATTCGTATATTTTAAATATTTAGTTCTAAACTTAGTAAATTTATATTTATATTTTTGATCTTATTCATAGATGACCATTTAGATTTGACTAACATGGTATTAGAGTCTGTATAGTTTACCAACCCGTGTTTGTTTGATACATGTACGTGAAGGTCTCCTAATTTTGAAAATTTTTCAATAGTTTGTAGCTATTTCTTTTTTCGATTTTGCTTTGAATTCTGATTTTGTTGAAGTCATGTCTGCATCCGTTTGCTCGTTCCTCCATTGCAATGAGAGTCCTGCTATTTCCGATTTTATGGAGAGTATTCCCGTCGTTTTTTTGTTTCAGTAGAGGGTCCGGTCGTTTTCGTTTTCGGCTCTATTAGAGAGTTACGTCGTTTTCGACTTGAGTAGTGAGTCATGTAGTTCTTTTATCAAACATATTCAATTTTAGATTTAGTAGATTATATTTAGACAAGTAGATCTATATTTATATTTGATCTTATCCATGTATTAGATTACATTATTTATAAAGTATATCGAGTTTTTTTGTATTGCAGACTCCTTATTTATAGAAAATCAGATAATTTTCCCCTATAATTTCTACAACACAACATCAACACCAGATTAAGAAATATAAGTTTTGATTATCGACAGCTGATTAGTTTCGACTAATTTACAGTCTAAGAAAGAATGTGAGCACCTGATAAACCTTGCCAAACCTCACATGGAAAAGTCGAAAGTGGTCGACAGCGAGACAGGCGAAAGCGTGGATAGCAAGTATGCTCTCTAATTTCTTCTCATCTGTGCTTGAATTGAGATTCATCTCTCTGAATTATGCTTTCCTCTCCTCTGTTCATAACAACACAAAGATCCTTCGTGTTCTAGAGTTCGCACAAGTTCTGGAATGTTTTTGGCAAGAGGTCAGGATGAAATCATCACCAGAATCGAAAGAAGAATAGCAGATTTTACTTTCTTACCTGAAGGTTAGTCTGATTCAGTGACATTGATTCGAATTTCGCCTCCAATTCCTTGTTTCATGCTTGGTGTTCTACCAATTGGATGTTCTTTTACAGAGCCATAGATTTACAGTCATTTTTGACACTTTTAGGTTGTGTTTGTTTATGGGTTTAGATTTTTTAATAGTAAAAAATTTAATTTGAATAATTGATTGATTTATACCAAATATTGATATGATATTTTGAATATAAAATAAATTTATATTATAATATAAAAAAAATAATAATTGTTTGATTTGATAATTTTTTTAGAGAAACAAAAATGTGAATAGTAAAAGCAAAAAAAACAACAATTAAATATTTATGCATTATATTTATTTTTATTTTTATTTTTAGACTTTTTGTACTATTTATTTTATTTTTATTTTTTAAAAATAATACTTCTTCAATCCATAAATTAATGTCATATTTTATTTATTTTTATTTTGGACTGTAAAAAACTATTGTCTTAATTTTCTTTTTAAATACAAATTTTACCTTTTTATCATTTCGTTCATTTACCACTTTTAATTTCTACTTTACCATAAATAATAAATTTGTCAATTCATAACAAAAAAAACAATTACCAAAAAAAAATTATGCAAATATACTTTAGGATAATGAAAATTAGACCGAGGAAGTAGTATTATTTCAATTTTACAAAATAGCACATTTAATTTATTAATCAAGTATTCCCCCGTTCCATTGAAATGATGCTATTTTTTATTTTTGTCCGTCCCAAAACAATGGTACAATTTCTTAATTTAGTAATTGTAATACTTACCTAACGTAATAAATACACTTCCAACTTACAATATATTACACAAATGTCGTTACTTTTATATTACACTATACTAATAGGAGTATTTTGTCTTTTTTATTATAATATAATATAATACTAATATTTAAAAATCTACATGCAAAAAACAAAAGCCACTATTTCACCGGAGGGAGTATTTAATTTTTATGATTTTTAAAAAATTACACTAAAATTAAAATATCGTATCTACTTTATTCTTTAAGCAAAACAAAGTCACCAAAAATATATATTTTTATAGATTCTCACTTGTTAAAATTTTCTCTTGTCCGTTTAATCTTTATTCTTATTGATCTATTCAAATAGCTGCATTTTTTACATGCAATTTTATTCTTTGTTCTCATTTTTTCAAAATTCCATTTTATGTACCAAACATCATCTTACATATGAAATTAGAAATGTTTTAGAAAATGGAGAAGGCCTACAAGTTTTGTACTATGAAGTGGGGCAAAAATACGAACCACATTTCGACTACTTTGTCGACGACTTCAACATCAAGAAAGGGGGCCAGCGGATCGCCACACTTCTTATGTATCTGTATGCAAGACTTTTCATAAGTGTCTTAAAAATCGTCGGCACTTTTGCACGGCTGTTGTTATATTGCCTTTATATATTTACGCAGGTCTGATGTCGAAGAAGGCGGCGAAACAGTGTTCCCTGCTGTCGGAGGAAACTTCAGTTTCCTAACGAGGAATAATCAGTTGTCCGAATGCGCCAAGAATGGCCTTTCTGTGAAACCCCAAAGAGGCGATGCGCTACTTTTTTGGAGCCTAAGCCCGGAAGCCACTGTAGATCCCTCAAGCGCACATGGTGAATTTCAGTTTCATATCAATATACTATTTAAATAAAAATAAAATTTTTATTTTAAATTAATTTCAAATTACAATGGAATGAAGTCAATTTTCTTATTGTTATACTTTAAATTGGTTTAGGTTCTTGTCCGGTGATCAAAGGAAACAAGTGGTCCGCGACAAAATGGATTCATGTTCATAAATACAGCGTCGAGTCTTAGACCCAAGGTATACATTTTATCCACTAATATGGACACTTAAGTTTTAGAGGGCTCCGATAAAAATAAAAAAAAGAGATGTTTATTTGATTATATATATAATATAAAAATAATAGATTTTTGGTTTGAATTTGAAGATTTTGATGGATAGTGATTTGATAGGGCATGCGGGTCTTGCCCTTCCCACACAGATCAATCATATCATGTCATATACTTATTTATTTTTAAATTTATCAATATTCTATTTCATATATATATTTGCAATGTTTCAATTTCATTTTCAATTTTTTTTAGAAAAATTGTCTTTCATGTTGCTTTATGTTAGAGTCGAGTAGGAAGAGAAAGAGATGTCAATTCCAAATATATACTACTCCCTCCTTCTCACATAACGTGTCTGCTACACTGTAGACACACTATTTTAGAAGAGATGTAATTACTAGATAATTAATAATGTATTAGTGAAAATAATTATTCTATAATATAAATAATTATAAATTAAGATTAAGATAACTAATTAGTTAATTAAAATTAAGAAAAAATAAAATTTTTAAAAAATTTAAAATGAGATTAAAGTTTACATAAAAATATTCGAGCTAAAAGTTTACATAAAATGTCATTTTGAAGCTCAATATTTTTGTATAAAGTTTTAGAGGTACCTTCGCTTGGACTTCATGCGATAATTCTATTACGATAGCTTTTTTTTTTTTCTTTTTTTTCTTTTTTTTTTATCTTTGGAAATGGCTCCGTTCGAAAACTCCTTTTCCAAGTTCAGCAGGGAGTTGATACGGGTCATCTTATCATCAAGTTCGTCCCCTAGGAAGTATGTTGGTTGGGCTTAAAGCGTCTCGATTTTCTTGACTAAAATTCAATTGCATTGACCTTAAAGTCATTTTTATACGAGACTCTCTCCAAGTCTCAGTCATTAGCTATGATGTTGAAATTGACCTCTAAAGTTTTATCATCATCAAGGGGCCCAACCATAGGGTTGTCCTCTGAAGCTTGAGTTGTCAGATCCTCAAAAAAGGCTCGTTGTTTGGGACAACTTATTGTCCAAAATTAACCACTTCGACCTCCATTCTTGATGCGTCGAGAGCTGGTGCTGCAAATAATTTTTGTGAAGTGTATTTTTAGTCCGGTCTATTTGTGTATGACCTATCTGGAACTGTCCATCTTGCTGTTCCAGCTCCTCTCGAGTAGACTTGGTTGTCCCTGACGCTGCCTCTTCCGCCTTTGCGTCTCGTGAGAGGCCGGGTCATTTTTAGCCTCGACTATTGGTCCATCTCCATTCCTTGGGGGTCTTTCCAGAGCAGCATGTGTGGTGCATTGTAATAATCACCCGGTCCACTGAGTCCACGCGCCACACTTTGCCATTTTTCTCATACCTGAGATCTATCACTGTGTTGCTAGGTGACGTCCTACCTCACACCGAGCTCATCGTTGGAGGTTTAATCGACTTTCCGAGCCTCTCAAACACCATCTTTCTTGGGGAAGATTTCTTTTTGTTGTTTTCGGAACCAGAAATTGATTCATAGGTTTTCATTAGATGTGCTCCAACGGCATTAATCGGCATAGGAAATGGTTGAACATCAATCTTTTTATCTTGTTTTTTTTCCCCAACTATGCCTTCCCTACATCGGGGTTGTCTTCCCGCGTATGTAAAGAATGAGCTTCGTTCTAGTATTCTTGGTCCCGGGCTGTCTGAGCGTTCATCAGGAGTTGCTCTGGTTTTATAGCTTTTGAAGTGAGTTATAGAAAATTCTGATATTCTTGAAGGTTTAGCTTCTCCTAGAGCTGGTGATTCATATTGTTGATCACCATGTTCACCATTTGGCTCTCCAAAATTCGTACCTGGCAATGACTCTCGGCACTCCGGAAACGTTTGAAAATTTTTATACTGATTCTTCATTATTTTGGCGTCGATTGATAAGGTCAGACACTGTAACCTTCGGCAGTGTGCTGTAGGACCGTTCATGGAATGATTTTTCCAAATCTGCCCACATCTCCACAAAATGTGGAGGTAAGAAGGTGTACCACATAAAGGCTAGTCCAATAAAGAACAATGAAAATAACTAAAGTTTAACCAACTATTATTTCCGAACTTGTCTCCACATTATGCTGTGAACCGACTGATATGTTCAATAGTTGGGCGCGAATCCTCTTAAAAAAAAAAAAACTATTATTACCACATTCTAATAAAACTTGACGAATATCTTTAGATAACATCCTTGGATATTTATCTATGTGACGTTGTAAGTTACCTTTACTATTTTTTGAATCAACCCCCAATAAATGATCATATGCTTTGCACTTGCATTTCAATGGTTTGCCTGCCTCTTGTGGTAACAACTCAAAATGTTGTCATACTTTAGACTTTAGCTTTGTTTTACGTTTAAAACCTGATGTTGCTTCCGATTTCTTTCGATCGGTCTCTTGACTTGTAGAGTTAGACCCCGAAAAAACTGACTTAAGAATCCATACTGACTTCATCCTCATCATCTAAAATCTCAATATTTTGTTTGAGTCACCTATACAACATAAACAATTTTTTATTACAAGTTATAACAATACGGATCCAGAGTAGGCAAACATCATATTAAATAATGGAAGTACTAGTTGTTCACTTCAATATACCATATTCATTACTGTGATGTCAATGCTGTTAAAAAACTAGTGAAATAAGAGAACACTTTAACAAGATATTTGAAATACAACCAAAAGAGACAAAATACAATTTTAGATAATATTTTATGTTAGAGTTCATTATGTTTTATAAACAAATTTCTATTATTGCAAAACTTAAGAAATTTCAAAAAAATTATTTCAATAGTCTATTAAAATTTTAGTAATGTAAAAAATATTTTTTTAAATCTAGAAATCAAAATTAAATTGCAAATCATCCATACATTCAAATTTTTTTTAAAAAAAAAAACTCAAAATCTTTAAACTTAACTAAAAATAAATTATATTTAGAAAGTAAAAATAAATTAAAAGATGAATTAGATGAGAAAATACAAAAATTTATCTGAAGAGATAAACTGCTAGAGCAATCACTCTTCTAAATCAACTACTCCAAATGAACTCCGGGGTTATGAAACTTGAGAGAAAAATAAGATTTTCAAATCGAAATTCCAGTTCGACCGTCTGCACGGTGCGGTGGGCTGCCGGATGCGCCAATGCCTGTATTTTTCTTTCTTTTTAGGAGAAATAGGTATTAGTGTAGGCCTCTAGGAATTAGGATTGTTCACTTTAGTTATTAGTTACACTAAAAAAAAAATTAGTATATTTGTAATGGAATTCCGTTCCTAAAGTTCACGTAGCTAACGTAATTCCATCTCTAATTCCGTCTCTAATATCATTATTAACAGAAAAAGTGAATTTAGTAACGAAAAAATCTCGTTACAAAATTAATAATTTCTTGTAGTGTTAGAATTTAAAATTTTTATAATTTATTTGGTGCCATACAAACTTAAAATGGTTTGTTTTTTTCTTTATTTTCTAGAATTTATTTTTATTTAATATAATATAAATATTATAAATTTAAAAACAAAAACAAAAAATACATCAATCCAAAACTTAAAATCCAACCTCAATTTTTTGTTTCAGATTATCAGCTCAATTCAAATTCCGACCTTCCGACCTGAACATGACTCTAATTTTTTTCATTTCGTATTAAATTGATATAATTTTTTTTAAACCCGAAACATCCAAATTCTAACATAAAAATTTTCAGATCAAACAAGTTCGATTTTTTGAATTACGTAGAATTTTGACACCCTAGAGCTGATCCCCATGGTGTACCCCTGGAGCTGGCGGGATGGTTGACTGTCCGGAGCTTCCGAATGCCATGCTACCCATGAGTTTATTTTATTTACTCACTAATTTATAGACATATTTTATATAAATCACCGTTTGTTTCTTTTATTTTATATTTTTGAATTCTAGTTAGTGTTGCTTGATATGTAATTTGGACTAGTTTGCAAAATATAGCTAAACTAGGCAAGTTGTGTGCGAGTACAAATTGTCTAAATAAGATAATAATCATACGAATCTTTTTAAATAAGACAACTACCATAAATATAATATATTACTTTTAAATATATTTTAAAAGTGACCACGTTCAACCATAGTCTCTTAATTAATTACTCTATCCGCATTATTCAATAGAGTTCTTGATTTTCACATTGAGTGAGAAAAACCCTAAATTCGAATATTCTCTTAACAAATCCAATCATAGCACGACAACATATATGTATATTCTTCACTTGGAATTAAAGAGCATTATCCATCAGCAAAACAATTGCATAAGCAGGTTATAGATGATCAAATCATGCATAAGGACACATTGTATGTTACACCAAGATCAAGAACTGTTGTAGATTCAAATATGTTCCAAGATTCAGTACATCTTCATCAATTTATTTGCATCAACCAGTTGTCGGGATTCGATGGATCTTCAGGGATGGGTTCACATTCGATATTCTGTAACCTCCTAACCATTTCAGAATCATCTTCTTCGCCACCACGATGATCAATCGACGCAGGCTCATCATTATCATTATTATCATCGACAACATTGAAAATCCGATCCAAGAACATCTCGGCACCGCGGCTGCTCTCTTCCAAGACACCTCCGATGAACTGATCAAAGTAAGATCGGTCGACATCCCGTGTCTTCCTCACCGAACACAGCACAAAATCCTCGCAGCCATCTCTCACACAACTTCTGAACTTCTCGTCCAAAGAATATTCTCTCATGGCATAATAACATCGTTTCCCAATTTCATTACCATAGACACGACCATCCTTCTTGTAGGTGTGTAAGAACGTCTGCCCACGCCCTATTACCACACTTTCCCTCTTATGAAATATCGAATCAATTCTTACATGCTCAATCCATTTCCCACTCTTGCCGCATCCCCGGAAACTTTTTCCGGAGATTTTCTTGATCTTGGTCAAGAAAAAGACTTCCCGGCAATTATCGTAGCCTCTGAAGATATCCCACGGCTCCTTTTCGCCGTAAATGTCGAAGGTGGGAATGACAGGATTGAACCGAATTGGCAACGGCAGTCGATATTTACAAACCTTGTTAAGAAGACACAAGATGATTTCTTTTTCGGTTAATCTTCTAGTATTTGC